TCGATTCACTACTACTGATTGAAGAAGCTCTAACAACCTAATCAGATTCTATCTATCTCAGGTTGCAGCAGAAATCAATAAAAGATGATCAGACTTCAAATGACTCATTCAAAACACTTCAATCGATTATAATCAAGCAAATTCACAATCCGAACGTAATTACAATCAAGATTCCTAAATCATGGAACTAGGGTTCTTCATACCCAAGTGAGAGAGAGTTCTACTCCATAGAGAGAGAGAGAGAGAGAGGAAAATAGCAAACAAAGCAATCGTACTCATCAAGATGGGAAGAATCTGCTCTAGGATGATGATCTTCACTCCAAGGATGATTTCAAAGCTTGATTGATGAAATCGAGCTCCAAAACCACTCTTAAGGGGTGTTCTTCGCACTTTCTCTCTCTAGGGCTCTGTTTTTGCTCCAAAAAGTCGATCCCCCTCCTGTGGCTTGAATTTGGGTTAAAACCCTGAAATTCCCGACCACACGGCCTGGCCACACGGCCGTGTGGCTTTTTAGGCGTGCCTGTTTGAGTGTGCAAAACGCCGCGTTTCACTTAAGAGGCTTCAGGTATGCTACACGGCCAAAACCACACGAACGTGTGGATTTTAGGCGTGCCCGTGTGAGCTCCCAGGACTTTCCACACGACCACAAGGGGTCCCCTACATGGCTAGCGTGGCTTGCCCGTGAAATTTGGTGCCACACGGCCAGGTCACACGACCGTGTGGGTTTTAGGCGTGCCCGTGTGGCTTTTCCAGCTTTTCGTCAAACGCCCCAACTTCGTCCAATTGACCCCGAACTCGTGCCCAAACCTTCTTTCACGTACTAGGACCTGAAATATCACAAACAAGAACAACCTAGCGTGAAATCGGCCTAATATACGAGAGATGAGACTCAAACGGTATAGGAAAGGTGGATAAAAACATGTGTATATATCAAGTCATCAAATTCCCCCACACTTAACCGTTTGCTTGTCCCCAAGCAAACCTGACTTAAACCAATACAACTCTCCAGACCTCTATAGCAACATGCAACCCCGATCGTCGGTAGAGGATTTTCTAAATCATTTAGCAACTTACGAGGTCAACTGGTCTTCTAAGACGCCTCTTATCTCTCTCAATGCGAGTACTAGACTCAAGCCAGGATCATGAGAAGCAGTGGAACTAAGACATTCAATTCATGGATAAGGAGACTCACACAATTCAACAACCAAGGACTCATTGTATCGGGTGCTCTTTCATTTCATTTCACTTGTTGGAACCCCTTCTTCTTACTATTTGTTTTTTTTTCTTTGCTGGGGTTCCAACTGCAGTTTATATGTGCGGTCTGCCCTTATTAGGTGAGCAAGAGAAATTTCTATACATCTGTCACTCGCTAGAGTACTTCTTTTAACTCCTATTCCTCACTTCGTGTGGAGGGTCAATGAAATTAAGGGGGGTCGGATGCTCTATCTGTGCCCTTAAAAGCACATCCTCAAGTAGGCCAACCGTTCAACAGGTGGAAATTTTACTTGTACTAGAGACAAATTAGCTTCACCTTGTAGGCCTACCCCACCAAGGATCACTAAAATCTCTTCCAAAACCCGATTTTGTGCAATGAACGGTGCCACACACGTTAGGCTTACCCCATGTCTTAGAATTTCAAATTTTTGACATGGAGGACCAACTGCTTTTTCATTTCACACTTGAGCACCCTTTTTTGATACACGAGCCCACAACACAACATAAGAGGAGTCATCAATACCACATGAATCAACGGTCCTAAATTCACTAGTTCACAAAATCAACTGGCATAGCAGAGAGACAGATATGAAAAATCTTATACTTCAACATTCTCTATAGTGCTACAACTACCTCCTTAGGTTGCATATCACCATAAAGACTGTCAATTCAAAGCGTACTGAGCAGGATTTTGCAGGGAACAGTACTTGGAGCCCTCAATTCATCAAATTGGACAGTGGACTAGGCTCCAAGCACACAAACTCATCTAGCAGTCAAAAATAGATAAACACCCCCACACACTTAAGCACGACATTGCCCTCAATGGAGCAAGGGAAAGATAAGGGGGAACGATGTTACCTGGAATACGGACTGTCGGGGGACTGGAAATGGGACCAGTCAGCAGGTCTAGAGTCATCAAAACACATTGGGTGATAGAAACCATGGTTCCAAGTGGACAAACCGAAAACAAACGAAGGAAAAACAAACCTTGGTGGGGTTGCCTCCCCACAAGAGCTTCTTTACCGTCTTTTAGATGGACGCCAGTAGGGTGGATACTCAGAGAGGTGAAGGAACAGGTGCCTCCAAGAGCGGATCCACATCGCGCTTGAGGTACAGTTTCAGATGGTGGCCATGCACATGATGGGTGTGACCACCAGCACTCGTCAACTGAATCTAGCCATCCGGCAGGATGCAAGCGAGTGAATACTCGGATGGCCAAGGTGGTCGAGGCTCAGGAGGCTGGACCAGCTCATAATGGTCTCCGGCTTTCTTGTGAGCAGGCTTAGCTACCTACAGTTTCGGCCGCGTTTCCTTTGGTGACAGAGTGGACGGGAGTGGCGGCGAAGGTATGAGAGGGGGATCCTGCAAAATGGGAAGCACAGAAGGATACACGACAGACTCGTGCTCCTGGTGAGAAACAGCATGCAAGGGCGATGAAGCAGGGAGAGTATTAGCAATGGAAAATGTTATTCGCTCCTCGCCATCCCTCAAGACTAAGGTCCCATCATGTACATCTATGAGAGCCTTGACGGTGGCCAGGAAAGGCCTTCCTAGTATAAGGTGTCTTCATTGATGTCCAAGACAACAAAATCCACAGGATAAAAGAATCTTCCAACCTTAACCAGAAGGTCTTCCACTATGCCCCTAGGATGAACTATAGATCGGTCAGCGAGTTGAATACTCATCCTAGTTGCACTAGGTTCACCTAGGCCTAGTTTCTTGAACACTTTATATGGTATCACATTAATACTAGCACCTAGATCCGCCAAGGACCTCTCTACATGAAATTTACCTATAGATCACGGGATAGTAAAACTACCTGGGTCCTTCTGTTTATGCGGAAGCTTATTCTGCAGAACGGCCGAGCACTCCTCAGTGAGCTCCATAGTGGCTAGCTCGCTAGTGCATCCGCAGTCACAGTCCCACTTCGCAGCATAATGGCGTGCAACCCCTCCTTATGATTTTTGGGATTCGATAGGGGTTGGCCAGGAAGTGTGCCAACCGGTATGGAAGCTAGGGCATCTGCCAGGTGCCCGATCTTGGTGTCCATATCCTGCAGGAGTGCCTGCTGGTTTCTCTGGCCAGCTTCAATCTCCATGAATTGACCTGCAGCCACTTCCATGAATTGCTCCAATTTGTTGAACTTTTGGGTACTAGTGCTCGCCAAGGTAGTCACTAGATCCCTCAGTTCTAACAAAGGATCGCCCGGTGCTGGGACTAATGGAGGTGCACCAGGTTGCTAGTACTGCTGCTGTGGGAGCTGTTGAAAGCATGCCCCGGTCTGGGCTGATAGAGTGGCTGTTGTTGCTGCATCTGGCCCGACCGAGGCTGGTATGGCTGCCTTTAGTTTGGGAAACTAGATGCAGGAGCCTGGAAGCCAGGTGGCTTTGGATTGTTGTTGCCACTCCAGGAGAAATTTGGATGCTGGCGCCATCCCTCATTGTAGGTATTACTCTAAGGATCGTTGCGCCTGACATTGTTAATAAAGTTCACCTGCTCCTGGGGTGTACTGGACTCACGCATGGCCTGGCAGTCCTCCACAGTATGATGCGTGATCTCGCACCACTGACAATGCATCGCCTGCTGATGTCCTTCCCCTGGGATCATTCCCGAACGATCGATGGCTGAAACCAGTTTAGATACCACCTGCACCAAATCAGATGACTGGGTGGCTACAACATGCACACCCCGCCCTGGTGCTCGGCTCGATCTCCTCGCAGTTCCCCAATCATAGCCCTACTCTACCATCTTTTCAAAAAGTTGATTCAGCTGTGGTGGTGTTTAGGTGAGCATATTCCCGCCACAGACCGAGTCAATCAGCTGCTTGTCCTCCGGGAAGAGGGCATGGTAGAAGGTGCCCACCTTGAAGGCGTTAGTGAACCCATGGTTGGGACACTTGAGGAAGAGACTGGTGTATCTCTCCCAAGCATCCCGGATGGTCTCATCTTCTATCCTGAGCAAAATGGGTAATTTGCTTCTGCAGGTCCTCCGTATTGGACGGGGGATGGTAGCGAGTGAGGAACTTGTCCGCCAGGTTGGCGAACATGGTGATCGAGCCTGGAGGTCGAGTGTCTAGTCACTCCTTGGCTATCCCCTCCACAGTAAATGGGAAGTACCTTAGCTGGATGGCATCGGCTGGGACCCCATTGATCTTGATTCCATCGATGAGCTCGTGGAATCGCCTCAGATGTGATCGGGGGCACTCCTCCTCTTTGCCACGGAACACCACCGAACCGCGCAACATGGTGATGACAAAGGTGCTCACCTCAAAGTTATTCGCTGGCACATGATGGTGCTGAATGGGCGACCTCATGTCCGCGGCTCTGGCGGTCCAGTAGTATCCCATGGTCTGCTCCTCAGGAAGGACCACATCATGGTCCTGTGGATCACCCATCTCTTCTTCGTCGGCTATTTGCAGCTGTGCTAGCGCCTCCTCCGCAGCTAGTCGCGCCTTTAGAGCCCGCTTAAAGTTCCTACTGGTCCGTTCAAGCTCCTGGTCTAATGGTAGTAAATCTCCCGACTGGCTACGGGTCATGCACTACCTGCACACAATCAACAAAAGCAACCCGTGAGGCCACACAGGTGGAAGAGAGAAAATGCAGTAAAGAAAAAGCTAGAGTAACAAACTTTCACGTTTCTCCAATAACCTAGAGGTTCCCCGGCAATGGCGCCAAAAACTTGACACGCTAAAACACAACACCAAACTGCGACCAAGTGTAATCGCAGTCCGGAAATGCAGTAAAGTGGCAAGTTCTAATTATCAACCCGGGGTCTAGATCTACTGCGTACTCCATGAATATCTATTATCTAGCCAACTAAGTCGATTGATTGTGGTTTTAACTAAAAGCAGTAAGAAAGCAGGAAAAGATTCGGTTTTCTAAAGCAAAGGAAGAGTCACTCGGGAATGAGTCCCCATAGCTCCTTAGTTAGGTCACAGTTGTAATTACTTTTGGTTGTTTTACTGCTGATTATACTGCGGAAGATCCGACAGTGGCTTGGAATCTCTTAAGCTGACCAAGCCCTCTCAGTCAAACTACCCGGCAGACGACTAGTCTTCACAGGAATAGAACGCCGAGGCAATGAACACAAAACTCCACTACTGGAATTAGATTCCAGTACAAAGCAGTGAATCGACTAACTCTCGTATAATCGATTCACTACTACTGATTGAAGAAGCTCTAACAACCTAATCAGATTCTATCTATCTCAGGTTGCAGCAGAAATCAATAAAAGATTATCAGACTTCAATTGACTCATTCAAAACACTTCAATCGATTATAATCAAGCAATATCACAATCCAAACGTAATTACAATCAAGATTCCTAACACATGGAACTAGGGTTCTTCATACCCAAGTGAGAGAGAGTTCTACTCCATAGAGAGAGAGAGAGAGAGAGAGGGAGAGAGAGAGGAAAATAGCAAACAAAGCAGTCATACTCATCAAGATGGGAAGAATCTGCTCTAGGATGATGATCTTCACTCCAAGGATGATTTCCAAGCTTGATTGATGAAATCCAGCTCCAAAACCACTCTTAGGGGGTGTTCTTCGCACTTTCTCTCTCTAGGGCTCTGTTTTTGCTCCAAAAAGTCGATCCCCCTCCTTTGGCTCGAATTTGGGTTAAAACCCATAAATTCCCGACCACACGGCCGTGTGGCTTTTTGGGCGTGCCCGTGTGAGTGTGCAAAACGCTGCGTTTCACTTAAGTGGCTTCAGGTACGCTACACGGCCAAAACCACACGGCCGTGTGGATTTTAGGCATGCCGGTGTGAGCTCCCTGGACTTTCCACACGACCACAAGGGGTCCCCTACACGGCCAGCGTGGCTTGCCCGTGCAATTTGGTGCCACACGGCCAGGTCACACGACCGTGTGGGTTTTTAGGCGTGCCCGTGTGGCTTTTCCAGCTTTTCGTCAAATGCCCCAACTTCGTCCAATCGACCCCGAACTCGTGCCCAAACCTTCTTTCACGTACTAGGACCTGAAATATCACAAACAAGAACAACCTAGCGTGAAATCGGTCTAAAACACGAGAGATGAGACTCAAACGGTACAGGAATGGTGGATAAAAACATGTGTATATATCAAGTCATCAGTCCCTCCCTCTTGAAAAGGATTTGCCCTCAAATTGAATTATCATCCAGAAATGGTGCAAGATCAGAAACGTTGAAGGTTGCACTTATGTCGTATTCTCCTGGTAGATCAAGCTTGTACGCATTCGTTCCAACCTTCGAAATGATTTGAAAGGGACCTTCACTTCTTGGCAGCAACTTGTATCTCCTTTGATGTGGGAACCTTTCCTTCCTCATATGCACCCACACCCAATCTCCTGCTTCAAAATTTCGAGCCTTTCTATGCTTGTTGACATTTTTCAAGATCTGCTCTGTCCTTCTTTCAATATTTAGCCGAGCCTTCTCATGGAGATTCTTCACATACTCCGCTTTCTTAGCTCCATCCATGTTTACTTGCTCCTTCAAAGGTAAAGGTATCAATGGGGTAAGAGGATTGAACCCATACACAATCTCGAATGGAGAATACTTCGTTGTCGAATGCATGGCTCTATTGTAAGCGAACTCCACGTGAGGTAGACAATCCTCATGTCTTTATGATGGCTCTAAGCATTTGAGATAGAGTACGATTCACCACTTCAGTTTTCCCATCCGTTTGAGGGTGACAAGTAGTCAAAAACAAGAGCTTCGTTCCAAGCTTGCTCCACAACGTCTTCCAAAAGTAGCTCAAGAACCTAGCATCTCAATCAGAAACAATGGTGCGTAGCATCCCATGTAGTCGCCCCACCTCTTTGAATAACAGATCCGCCACATTAACTGTACCATCTTTGAGAATGAAATGTACCATCTTTGAGAATCGATCCACCACCACAAAGATAGAATCTCAACCTCTCTTCATCCTTGGCAGCCCCAATACGAAGTCCATAGATATATCAACCCACGTTAATGAGGGAATGGGTAGTGGAGTGTACAATCCAGACGATTGCACCTTCGATTTAGCTTGCTTGCACTCCACGCATCTAGCACATAAGCTCTCCACATCGCTTTTCATATGAGGCCAATACAAATGATCTTGTAAGCAACTCAAAGTCTTGGCTACACCAAAGTGTGCCATCAATCCTCCTCCATGAGCTTCTCGTAGTAGCAATTCTCGAAGTGAAGTACGTGGTATGCAAAGTTGATTACCACGAAACAAGTAGCCCTCATGTCGATAGTACTTACCTTCTCCATGCTTCTCACAAAGCTTGTAAATCTCTCGAAAATCAGAATCCTCCTCATAGATGCTCTTGATTTGCTCGAATCCAAGGTATCTTGCATCCATGGTAGTGATCAACGTGTATCTTCGCGATAATGCATCAGCAACTACGTTCTCCTAGCCTTGCTTGTACTTGATCACATAAGGGAATGATTCAATGAACTCCACCCAACGAGCATGGCTCTTGTTCAACTTGTGTTGGGGCTTCAAATACTTGAGAGACTCATGATCAGTATGTATGATGAATTCCTTTGGCCACAGGTAGTGTTGCCAAGTCTCCAAAGCTCGAACAAGCGCATAAAGCTCTTTATCATAGTCGGGTAATTAAGCATAGCTCCGCTCAACTTCTCACTGAAATATGCAATGGGCCTCTTCTCTTGCATCAATACAGCGCCAATTCCCAATCCTGATGCTTCACACTCCACTTCAAACATCTTGTTAAAATCTGGTAGCATCAGAACAGGAGCGTGAGTAAGCTTGTACTTGAGGAGCTCGAATGCCTTCTGTTGCTCTTCTCCCCAATAAAATGCCACATTCTTCTTGACAATTGAATTCAATGGTGCCGCAATGGTGCTGAAGTTGGGCACAAATCATCGATAAAAGCCAACCAATCCATGAAAGCTTCTTACTTCACTCATGTTGGTAGGAGTAGGCCATGCTTGGATCGCTTTTACTTTCTCTTCATCGACTTCAACTCCATTAGCACTCACGAAAAAACCCAGAAACACCACACTTGAGGTGAAAAATGTACACTTCTTGAGGTTGGAATAGAGTTGCTCCTTCCTCAAAGTCTTCAACACGTCCCTCAAGTGCTCAAGGTGCTCTTCCATGCTCTTTGAGTAGATCAGAATGTCATCAAAGTAGACCACCACGAATTTTCCAATGAATGCTCGCAACACATGATTCATCAGCCTCATAAACGTACTTGGAACATTTGTTAAGCCGAATGGAATCACCATCCATTCATAGAGACCATGCTTTGTTTTGAATGTTGTCTTCCACTCGTCTCCTTCCTTCATGTGAATTTGGTGATAACCAGACCTTAGATCAATCTTTGAGAACACGTTAGACCCATGTAACTCATCAAGCATGTCATCTAATCGAGGAATAGGATGACGATACTTAACAGTTATTTGGTTGACTGCTCGACAATCAATACACATCCTCCACATATGGTCTTTCTTAGTCACGAGGATGACAGGAACCGCACAAGGACTCATGCTTTCACGAACATGTCCTTTCTCCATAAGCTCATCAATTTGCCTTTGAAACTCCTTTGTCTCCTCTGGAATCGTCCTATAGGCTGCCTTGTTTTTAATGGTAGCCCCAGGAACGAAGTCAATTTGATGCTCTATCCCGCGGATTGGAGGTAATCCCTTTGGTGCTTCTTCGGGAAAGACATCCTCAAACTCTTCTAGTACCACTCGTGCCCTAGGTGGTACCTCTTGAATCAGCTCTTGGTTGAGTAGCAATCCCTTGTATAGGACAATAATCATAGGAACTCGATCATAGAGGGCTTGTTTCATGTCTCCTTGTCGAGCTAGCATCAATTCCTTGGACTCCAAGCTACTCGAACCCTTCTTTGCAGCCCTTGCGGATTGAGCCTTCTTCTCTTCCTCTCAAATTTGTTGTATTTGTAATTGATCTTCATACACTTCTCTAGGATATAGAGGCTTCAATACTATCTTCTTACCTTGGTGCTTTAACGTGTATTTGTTGGTGATGCCGTCATGTTGAGCACTTCGATCAAACTGCCACGACCTCCCAAAGAGAACATGAACCGCTTGCATTGGCACCACATCACATGTTACTTCATCCTTGTATTTTTCAATGGAGAACTTCAATAAGGCTTGTTTAGCCACTTTGATTGACCCATCTTCATTGAGCCATTGAAGAGTGTAGGGTTTTGGATGAATCGTTGTTTTCAACCCCAACTTCTTCACACAACTAGCACTAACCACATTGGTGCAGCTCCCTCCATCAATCACAACCGAAAGGGTCTTCCCATCCACTACACACCTCGTATGGAAGAGGTTCTCCCGTTTCTCAAGCTCCTCCTTTGGTTGGATGCTCAATACCCTTCGAGCTACACACAATCTTCCCGGGGGTGTCTCCATCTCAAGGGCATCATCTACCTCAGAATCTGATGTACCCTTCTCTTCTAGTGATTACTCTTCCTCACCATTGGACACATAGTCACCATTCTCCAATAAGATCAATGCTCTTTTGTTTGGGCATTGGTTTGCCATATGCCTTCGTCCATGGCACTTGAAACATTGAATTCCACTGAAAGATGAACCCTGTTTGGTGCTAGGGTTTGTGATATGATCTCACCCGGATCAGTTCCTAGTATCCAATTGATGGAAAAAGAATCCAACTCATTCCCTTTAGCTCACTCTGAATTTTTGCTAAGTGTTACTACAGTTTCAGGTAGGTCACTTTGGGAGCTCGTTCCTTACAAATGGCTCGATGGAATGGAGAATTGAAGGCTAGTTTGAAAGATGGGATAACCCTCTACAACAGGACATGCTTGGATGCTCGAGAGGAAGCCAGGAAGATCGATTTTCGAGCTGCTCAAAACGCTATGCTGAATCTAGAGAACCGCCAAGAATTCTCCAAGTATGGAAGACAGTTTGGATACCAACTTTTGGAGCTTGGTTCGACTGGTTTGAAGGAGAATCGAGTTCCACGAATGCAACCACATGGAACTACAATTTTCATAGAGCAACGTAGAGGCATTGGTTGATCAAAACCATACTTTGAAGGCTTCTGACAAAGGCGAGCAAGATCGTACGGAAGCTGCCGAGAAGACTGTCTTGCAAGGGGTAATCCGAATCCGTTTCGGACTAGGATTGTGTATGAGTGTTTTCCCTTTTCTGTTTGAACTCTATTTCCTTGTTTGTTTGAGAGTTGGTTTTTCGTATTAAGCTTGTTAGTTACGTAGGTCTATTTAAGGTTGATCAATCGCATTGTAAATCTCAGATTTTATGGATTGAAATACAAACCCGAGTTTGGTTCACAAAGCTTGTGCTTGGTGAGTTTAAGAGTTGTTTAGGAAGAGTTCTAAGAAGCTTGAGTGCTTGTATCGTTCAGCTATTAACGCTGATCGTGGCCAGGCTTCGATTTATCTATTTCGAGTCATTCCCCGTTGTGTGGAATTACACGAAATTGACCATCCATCCACCTACAAAACCCCCTGTTTTGCTCGAGTTCTTCGAATTGAGCAAGATCAATCCGGAGCTGCGCTATTCTGGAAACTAAAGTCCTATCTAGGGCCTTATGTGTCTGAGGAAGAAAAGAGCTCAGAAGGAGAAGAGGTAGATGAGGAGCTTGAAATGGAGACCCCTCCTCCTCCCGGAAACCTCATCGGCGTAAATCGAAGGGCACTCACCATTGAGGCTCATTCAAACTCAGAATAGAGGGAAAACCTCTTTCATACACGATGCAACATCAAGGGAAACTTTTTGTCCCTCGTCATAGATGGTGGGAGCTGTACAAATGTAGTAAGCTCTGACATCATCAAGAAACTCGGGTTGACTACTAGCAAACATCCTGAACACTATACCTTACACTGGCTGAATGATTACGGAGCCATTAAGGTCAACAAGCAGGCTAGAATTCCGTTTGCAATTGGGCGCTATGAAGATGAAATTCAATTCGATGTGGCGCCAATGTAGGCTGCTCATCTGCTGCTTGGCCGTCCCTGGCAATTTGATCGAGGGGTATGCCATGACGGAGGAACAAACTGCTACAAATTTTGGCATCGAAACCAGAAGTTCGTGCTAACACCGATGACCCCGGCCGAAGTCCGAGCTGATCAACGACATCTGGAAACAATTCGACGTCGGCAGAAAGGGAAATCCAGTGCGGCGACCTCGGAGGAACCACATGAAGCTAATCTTATCGCCCGTCGTTTTATGTTGACAGCATTCAAGAAGAAGAGGCTTCGTCGACGGCAACAAATTGACAACTCGCCGTCAGAACAGAGTAAGAGAGAGGGAGAATTGGCCGGAGTCATTGACGAAGGGTCTGACCTCGCGGAAACTGCACGCACACTCCAAATCACCTCAGGAAACTCGGATGCAGACTGGAACGGACCCAAGATCCCTGGGTCGGCAAACTCGATTCAACCCAAAAGTGCTCTGAAAACAGGAAGTCACGATGACAAACTGCGTTTATGGGTTGGAACGATTGGAGAAGAGTCGGCTCGACCGGCTGCTACAAAATCATTCAAAACCATCCAGGAAGCTCCCCGATCGATCAATTAGACCCAAAATCTCCTGTATCCAGAACACCCAATTTACCATTGAACTTTCTGGGTTTGGAAAATTTGAATAACGATGATGGCGGGAAAGAAGCTAGCAAAGATTCGGCCATCGTGACGATAATTCAAGGTAAGTGGACAGGTCTGAAAGTCAATTGGGATCAAGGCAAAGATCGTGGAGCCCCTGAATTAGCCTGGGAATGCTTCAACTCGAAACTATACTTTGAAGGCTTCCGACGAAGGCGAGCAAGATCGTATGGAAGCTGCCGAGAAGACTGTCTTGCAAGGGGTAATCCAAATCCGTTTCGGACTAGGATTGTGTATGAGTGTTTTCCCTTTTCTGTTTGAACTCTATTTCCTTGTTTGTTTGAGAGTTGTTTTTTCGTATTAAGCTTGTTAGTTACATAGGTCTATTTAAGGTTGATCAAAAGCATTGTAAATCTCAGATTTTTATTGATTGAAATACAAACCCGAGTTTGGTTCACAAAGCTTGTGCTTGGTGAGTTTAAGAGTTGTTTAGGAAGAGTTCTAAGCAGCTTGAGTGCTTGTATCGTTCAGCTATTCACGCTGATCGTGGCCAGGCTTCGATTTATCTATTTCGAGTCTTTCCCCGTTGTGTGGAATTACACGAAATTGACCATCCATCCACCTACAAAACCCCCTGTTTTGCTCGAGTTCTTCGAATTGAGCAAGATCAATCCGGAGCTGCACTATTCTGGAAACTAAAGTCCTATCTAGGGCCTTATCAGTTTGGAGTCTCCACCTTTGGCCCGAGTTTTGGTGCTTCTCTTGTAGGAACACTCGGCCTAGGGTTTGTTGTAGGTGCTGGTGTAGGCCTTGTAGTACTTGTAGAGGGTAGAAACCTCCTATTCTTCTGTTGCCTCTCCACCTAGCTGCAAATAGCCACCAAGTCTTCTACCTCCACAAATAGTTGAATTTCCACGACATTACGAATCTCTCGATTAAGACCATGTAGAAATCGAGCTATGGTAGCTTCCCTATCTTCACGAACATAAGCTCGAATCATTAACAACTCCATCTCTCGATAGTAATCCTCAACACTCTTGTTGCCTTGTCGAAGAAGTTGTAATGCTTGGTGCATTTCCCGTTGATGATAGGCTGGAACAAATTGATCTCTCATGATTGCCTTCAACTCATCCCATGTTTCAATAGGCCTGCGCCTATCTCTTCTTCTCTTCGTGCTCAATTGATCCCACCATGCTAGGGCATAATCCGTAAACTCAATGGTAGCCATCGCCACCTTCCTCTTCTCCGAGTAGTTTTGATTATCAAAAATCAGCTCCATCTTGCGTTCCCAATCGAGATAAGCTTATGGATCAATTGTCCCTTTGAAAGATGGTACAGTTATCTTCAATCCTCTTAGATCATCATCATCTCGGTAAGCACCTCCATCATACTCGTATTCTTCATACCCTTCCTCGTCATAGAAGGGAAAGTCTCTCCTTGCACAATGATTCCCTCCCAATGGCCTATGTCAACAAACATTCTCAAACATTGGACGTTGAACAGCTCGAACAACTCTCCTTTCTTCTCGTCGTTCCCTAGGATTAGGGTTTGCAAATTCGCCTTGGGGTGGCTCTTGTTCTCGTGGTTGAGGTTGCTGTTGATCACATCTTTGCAATGCCTCAACTTGTGCCCTTGTCTCCCTATGTTCTTGAAGTACCGTAGCTAGTTGTGCAGCGAGTTGTTGAAGTTGTGCTGCCACATCTTGTGCTTGTTCTGCCATGGTTTCTTGCTAAAGAAGAACCCCACGAATGCTTTGTCTTCAAGATACCTTCCTTGCCACACAAGAAACTCTCAAGAGCGTTCAAGATTTGCTTTCTTGACGTTCAAGACTTACAAGAATGCTTCCCGAACTACCAAGAACTCCAAGAATCTTTGTCTTCTCCGCTGCGTTTGAACCGGGCTCTTGATACCACTTGATATGATCCTAATTCGAGAATCCTCCCAAATTGGACAAAAAACCAGAGTTGCACACGTCGAACTTTTTAGGGATTTTCTCCTTTCTTGAATAACGCGAAAATAAAGATATTGGCGGAATCGATCAAAAAAATCCGAACTCGTGAGAAGGGCCAAAAGGTATATGAAACCTTCCAAACAATCTCGAACCCGTGGAAGAGGCCAATCGATATCGTCGATGCTCGCCACAACTAGACTCATTCTCTAGTTGATAAGAGATCACTCAAAACTCCCAAATCCCCAAAGGAGCGAATAAGCAAAACGTTCACTTGAACTTGTAAACACTTGTATTTGATTGCTGAAACTTGAATGAAAAATACATTGGTTGGACTCCTATTTATAGACCCACGAATGTAAACACAAAACAACTAAGGAAAACCAAATCCTACTTGAAAAAGGAGAACAAAAACCTTAACAAACAAGGAAAACAAAAACCTTAACAAACAAGGAAAAGACTAAGTCAACAACTACCAATGAACCTAGCCTTCAAATCCGCACCCCCCCTGTGTTCACACTTGAAATTCCTTTCACACCTTGTGTTCACACCATGATCTTTATCCATTGTTGATTCCATTCACACCTTGAGACTCCTTCTCCATGGCCGACCCTCCTTCCCTCCCTTTGAGCTCAATTTCGTGATCCTCATAGCTCTATAGTGTGATGGACTTTCCTTCTAGCAAATCCAAGCTTAAGCCCTCCAACTCCTTAGCCAAATAGCTTGCAATTTGATCCCGAAAAGCCTTAGCCCTAGCTCGAGTCATTGGCCCTTCAACTTGAGTGTGTTTGGATTTGATGACCTCATCATTAACGCGAAGAGCTTCAACAACACTGGGAAAAATCATCAACCAACTTCCATCCGATACTTCTCTAAGCTCAAAATTGTCATCAATAGCCCATGTCGACTTAGCCCAGATCAAGAACCTCGGAAGATCCTGGTTTGTAAACACCACGGAGAGCAAGAAAGGAATCTAACCACCAAACTTCTCCCGAGCAGATTCAAACGATCACTCACCCCCACTTCGCCCACCTCAATGACCCTCTCACTCCCCTCCGAGACGATCGAGCATGTACCTGCCCCATAGAAACCATTGTTCCTCACAACATCAGCATAAGACTTGCTACTAATTATAACCGAACCTCCTCTCGATTCTTGGTGAGGCATCCCTGAAAGAGCACTCCCCAGAACCGCGGGAGCAAGGGATTCTCTGTCAGCTCTGTAAAAGTCCTGCAAGAATCCAATAAGTTTGGCCCACTAGTTGAACCCATCCGCAGGAGGGATGAGGACTTTGAAACTTCTACCTTTCGCCGACTGTTCACAAACCTGAAGATAACAGAGCCCCTTAATCCGAGCCACTCACAGATGAACTACCCTGGACCCACTTCGCTTCACGCAGTTCAAAGGAAGCTTCCACCTCCTCATAGCTGTAGTCTGAATAACTCCTTGAAACCAAGAAAGATGATTCGCATCCATCAGCACAAACCACCTCCTCTCACCTTCTTCCACTTGCAACTTGTAAATCTATCTACTACCAAACAAGACCTTCTGAAGGGACACTATCCTGGATCCCAGCTTGATCTAACTCACTATACCAATCCCCGCGATACCATTCGCAACCTCACCCCGAGACCAAGAGCTATCTGACCTGGAAAAACGCAAACGGTTAGGCAAACTCTTAACCCCCCCCCCCCCCCCCCCCCCCACCATAAACTCTTCACACTCCCCGACGCTCAAACCCTCCCTCGGCGTCCGCAGGTCGACCACCGGAAAACCTCCTCGCTCTCGCTCTCATGTGGAGGATTTGGGTAGCCTTTCTCATGTAAGAGTGGTGATATTGAATAATAGGAAAGGAATGGAGGTGCAATACGAATGGAATGGAGGTGCAAATACGCTCCCATCAAAGAGTTACAGTGTACAATGATAGGGAATACTACTGGAACATGGACAACTATTAACAACTACTACAAGGAATACAAACTAAACAATGACTAGAAATTCTTCCTAATACGCCCCCACAAAATGGAGGTGGCACCGTCAACAAGTCCCATCTTGGACGCGAGAAGATGATAAAGAGTGACAAGGAGAGCTTTCGTGAGCACATCGGATAGCTGAATAGTGGTAGGAATATGGCGAACAACCAACTGTTTGGTCTGGACAAGATGACGTACATAGTGATAATCCGACGCTAGGTGCTTCATGCGCGAATGGAAAACCATATTGGAGCTGAAGTTAATGGCACCGAGATTGATAGACCATTGACTGCACATGTTTGTACCCCTATTCTTGAGCCGTTTGAGATGTTGATTCTCGTGTTTTAATCCGATTTCACGCTAGGTTGTGCGTTTATGTCATATTTCAAGGCTTAGCGTTGGCATCGAGGCGAAGAAACGAGTTTTGGATCGAAAGGAGCACGTTTGGGGTGAAGTGTGCCGGAGGAGCAAAATACCCGGCCGGGTATTATTTGGAGCAGATCGGGGAAAATGTGTTTTGGGATTCTGAGAATCAGAAGGGGGCTCGGGCAGTAAGCAGAAATCCCCGGTCGGGTATTCTTGGCCTTGACCGGGGATTTTCCCCTGTTCCCCGACGATGCATTTTGATACTACCCGGTCTCCACCTAAAATACCCGACTGGGTATACAGGCCGTAGATCGCGACAGATAGCCTCTTAAGGGAAAAGAAGGGCAAAAAAGAAGGGGTTCCGAGTTTTAGAGAGAAAAAGCGATACTTAGAGAGAGAAGGTGACGAACCTGATTCTGCAAGTGTCCTTGATCGATCTCCATCACCATTTGAGCCCGGCTTGAGCTTGGAGAAGAGCTGATTGAGTGCCAAAAACAGATTCTCACCGTTCACAGTATGGTTTCCGCATCTGAGCTAGATTTCCCATCTCTCTCTATGGAGTAACTTTCTTATTCACCTGGCTATGAAGAACCCTAGATTTGTATGTTAGGTCTGATTGTATGAACCCAAGTACAGATTCAGTGGTATGATTATGTTCAATTGAGGTTTGATTTATTGAGTGGCATGAATCTTGATCAAATTCCTATTGTTTCTGCTTTAACCTTGTAAGAGAATATCTTCCTAGCTTGATAGAGCACCCTTGATTGAAGGTAGTGAATTGGCGACTTTAGTAGAGGAGTCAATTCACTATTATGTATCGAATTTACTTCGGTAGTGGAGGTTTGGTTCGTTAGGGCCTCAATCTATTTACTCCGGTGGAGGTTAGTCGCCCGCCGGAGACTCAGATTGAGAGGGTCTGGAGACCTTTAGTCGAGACGACAGACTGTTTAAGAACCTCCCGCAGTATAACTATCATTGGAATTGAACTTGGTAAATAACAATCCAGCTTAACTGCAGTCTAGGGGGAACCATATCCTGGTGACCTCTCTCGACTTGAAAACAACCTTTTAACTGCTTTGCTTGTTTGCTTGTTTGGATCTTCACTAAAGTTTCACTGCTAAATAATAAGAACTCACAGAGTAGTCATCACACTTAGGACCCGGGTTGACATTAAAACCCAAACCCGCTATACTACGCTTTAGGAGGTGGTTACACTTAGCCATTTTCTAGAGTGTGTAGACACCACTTTTTGTCCGGGTTAAAACCTTTTTACTAAAATAAAATTTAGTTCCACTTTAAGGTTTGATTTTGGTTGCCATGCGAGTTAATCGATTCTTAAGACGTTGGATTGGACCTTGATTTCTTGATAATAAAAGAGAATTCATAACAATTTTATTAAGATAAATATAGTACTAATTAACCACTATCATGATTACAATACATAAAAAAGGGTTTCCAAATAAAGAATAAGATAATATTTTTATTAAAGTAAATAAATTACAAATACAAGTACAATGCTAAACAATAATAACCGCATATTATTTTTACAATTACAAAATAAAAGTACAATTATGATCAAACAATGAATAGCAATTACAATGTACAAAGAAAAATAAATAAATAAATAAATAAATAAATAGACCCAATTAAATCTTGAAACAGCCCAATTGCAAGCCCACAGCCCAATTGCAAGCCCACGTCAAGGTCAACCAAGTCCATCCCACAAGGCCAAGTCAACCCTCAATAAAGTCAAACCGGTCAGAAATCAGGTCTGACCAAACCCATATCGGTCAGACCAAACCCATACCAAAACCGACCCTATTGCAAACTTGGGGATCAATCTGCTTTTTCCTATAAAAACAACGCAGACACTTCCTTTCGAGGGGGAGACAATCAGCTTCTTCCTCCGCGACAACCTCCTCCTCCTCCATACACTTCCTTTCCTCTAAACAAAAAAGAGGCCGACTTTCTTCTTCTTCTCTTCCTCTTCCTAACGAACTTCTTCCCCACAGCTTCCTTTCAATTCCCCTCCTAATCCCAATAGAAACAGAGCAGAAAAAAGAGAGTAAAACTCTGCAAAATCCCACCTTCACTCCTTTTCTCACGCACAATACATAACACAAGAAAACTGAAAAATGCAAGCAAAACCAGAAAAGGGGAAGAGACGGCAAAAAAACATTCCCAGAACCTTCTCTTCTCACTGCCGCTTCCTTTCCTTCTGCTCCTTCTTTCTCTTCCTCAAAAATTCACAAACAAAAAGCCCAAAGACCAAAAGGGACACAACAAAAATCCCTTACTACAAACAACCTACCACTGTCGCCGAGATCAGCATACAAAAACCAAGAAAGAGAGACAGCAAAGGAGGTTCGGAATCATCTTCAACCTGCAAGTGCAAAGGTAGGCAGCCGATTAAAACCACCCATCATCATCTTTAACCATCTCATTATATAAGTTTTATTTTAAAACCAAAACTCAATCAACTCCAATCAAACTACAAGATGACCAATTGATTTGA